CTTTTTACTGTGGCAGCCATTACGCTATCCAGACCGGCTCCAATGTTCAAAGCTTTCCAAGTACAGGTCTGGGATTGCAATTTATCCGACCCACCGTTTGAATTACCAAAAATTATAACGGAAAGATCGGTTGGGGCCTTAATTTTAAACCGGCCTTATTTAACAATTGCTTTAGTTGAAATATTGACTGTTCAGATTTTATCTCTTTCGTTAAATTTCTCCTTGCAGTGTCAGCACTAGATACTGTCCTGATTAGCCTGCTCTAGGTGTTCAGTTGGTTGAAAAGCAGCGCAAAAAAAGTCAGAAAAATTGGGGAGGAGTGCGGCGCGGAAAAGCTCTTGACTAAAATTCCTCCCCTCCTTTTTCTTTCCTTGTTTTGGCACTGTTCTCCAACTAACCTGAAGCTTCCCTGGTCCCAGAGGTTTTCTTTCTTTTTTCCTATTACTGAAGTAAAAACACCGCCACTGTGGTCAAAGGGAGGTAGTGAAGACATGTATATAAATGTATTTCAACTGCGGAAGAGTATCGCAAACAAATTTGTTTCAAAACTTTGCAAAAAAGTTGCGTCTTATCATGCTAATTACAATTTGATAATAACAAGTGTACGTCACCAGCTGTTTTGGAGTAATAAGCGCTTAAAGCTAAAATTAAGTTAGGATGTTTCAAACGGGTTGTAATGTTTCTTTAGTAACCAATTATGCCACGAAGATGACCATATCTTGTTTACCAATGATTGGTCATTTTTGTGATACCAATATTGTAATGAAACGTAAAAGTGAGTCAAAGTAGAACTTTAATGTTTAATGTTTAATCTTTTTTATACACGTTAAAAATTCATCCTGATTTTCAAACACAGTGAATATATTCATATCTATTAAAGTAAGGTGAGCCGGCTTTTATTTCCCAAAAGGTTTATTCCCAGTAAGACCAGCCCAGACAAACGCATAACATTTGTTCGCTAGACAATATGAAAGCAGTGAATTCAGAAGTGTTGTATTGTTTTGCACTTATAAATAAACAGTGAATATCAAAACTAATATAAATATACTGTTGAGTAGAACAAAGAGAAAACTGGCGATAAAAAATAAGAGAGAAACTAGGGAGAGGTTTACATAGAATGGCTGTGGAAAGGGAATCAGGCTTAACTATTCACTACTGTACTAACTGATGATTTAACATAATAACAAAAGGCGGTTTTAATTTTAACGGTTTTTAAATATTTCAGGTGGACTGACCCTCTCGATTGCGCAGAACAGAGTATCATCAGATACAGCGTTGGTTTAAAGAATCATTTATGCAAGGAGAGTCTTTTAAGTCCTTCCCAATAATTTCTACTGAAAATAAAACAGATGCAAGGATTGATGGCACAATTTGCGCGAGCCATAAAATTGCCAACAGTGATAAAATATAGAAAGCCACAAGACCTTATCATGTTCTCCGCAAAGGTAACGAGAAACCCGCTGATAGCGAGGGGCAGCCAACATACTGCAAACCCTAGCACAATAGCAATTGCCATCTTTAATACATTTCGCTCCCTTTGCTGGCGTTGTTGTCCAACGTTGGCCGATTGCTCGCCTGGAATCTTTTGTGACTTGAGCTTTAGATAGATGATAATGTAAAGTATGGCTATCAACAGTAACGGGACAAAAGCGAATACTACAGCAATGGACAAGTAGTAATTTTCAAAGGACGAGGACTCTCCAAATACTTCTTTCCAATGCAGCAAACACACCACCCCTAGCCTCTTAGGTATTCAACAAGTTTGACGGCGACCAGCCCTGGGAACCCAACAGCCATCCGACGATCCAAGTGGCGAGAATGATGAACGGGCACAGCTTTGAACTGATGAGTGGGGAACGGAGGGGATATACCACAGCTCCAAATCGATCCACTGCTATCAGATCCAGGCTCTGAATAGACACAGTAACGGAGACATTTGATAACAAGTAAACCAGCTTACATAAGGCCTGGTCAAGAGGACCACCGATCAGCCAGGAGTCTATGTAGAGCAGTTGTATATCTCGAGGAAAAAAATCGAAAACAGCAGATCGGACATGGCCATGCTTACAATGAAATAGTTGATTGGTTTTCTCATGGCTTTCGTCTTGTAGACAATTATTCCGATGACGTTGTTCCCAGCCAGCGAAACAAGAATAATCAGGCAGTAAGCGACAGTTTTTTCGATTTTTCCTGCTGTAGGATTGCTGGGGAAGTTCGATGGCTGTGTTTCATTTGTCGTTGCGTTCAAGTCTTCCGACATTGCTGTTCAGTTTCTTTTTCCGCTCTTATGCTGACAAATGAATTTTTTCTTTCTTTCGCCTGTTTGCAACAATCACCAAGATTTCCTATTTCATTCGTGAGCAGCTCAACAAAATGAAAGTGACCTATCAGCTTGGGCCTCAAATTGCTTTTCATTTCTTTTCTTGACATCGATGAAACTTGCAGCAGACAGTGGTTTAAAATGTTTTCGAAACGACATGTGGTTGAGTTGCTTTTAAATTTCAGCGCGGCTTGAAGCATATTAGTCGTTAATTTTCTTCTTTCTGTTATTCGTTTGCCGTGAATCTCATTTTCCATCTAAAGATGAGTCAGTGAGAACACAGCATGTTTAACGTTAAAATTCCACTCTCGCTTAAACTCAATAAAAAATCATCGTGGTGCTCCAGCAGAGTCTGTTACTTGACAGAGTTTAAATTTAGAAATTTCATTGCAATGTCCAATATAATGAGCCCACTCAGTCAACGGTTGCCGCTGCCGTTTACTCTCGTTTTCACCAATATCCAAATCAGTCTTTTAACAAACTAGAGACGCGCTGTATATAAACCATGCGTACCTATCCTGATATGATTGCTTAGACTGAATGTCTTGAAGATAAGATACTGAAATTCGTCACAATACACGATAAAGGTTTTTTCGTCAAAACTCTCAAGATGACAAACAATCACAGAGTAAACAGCTCACGGTTTCTATATTAAACATGCAGGTAATTTGACCATTCGTTTCGCGGCTGCTTGATACGAAATACACCAACTCGGTGCAGCTTCTAAAAATACTCTCGAGTAAGACAAAGAGAACAGAGGCGATAATAAAAGAGAGACCCAGGTCAGAGGGCGACTAATTTGTTTTCCTGAAACTGGAAGAAAGAAAAGTTTGTCAAAAGATCGGTTAGAAACCTTTATATAAAGTTTTTCAAGTGTTCATTGAACCAAATATAAAGCAGTATTGAAATATAACTTATTTACACGATTTAGGACGACCAAAAACATCCCATGAATTTTAAGAAAATTACAAATGTCACAGAATAACTTACAAAGTGATAATAAACTCAGTGTCCAAAGAAAGATTTAAAACCGTTCTACAAGTTTCGTTAAGCGAGCGTTTTTTTAAACGTTTCAGGTCGACCGACGCTCTCGACTGTTCGGAGGTGTCATAGGTTACTACGCTGTAAGTCAAATATCATTCATCGGAGATTCTAAATTCTTCACGATAATTTCTACTAAATATTAATAGATAGAAGGATTTATGGCACAATTCAGAGCCCGAGACGTCACATAACTTAGAGAAATTTTACTTGATCTTGCAGAGTCAATTTTAGGAGACTGCGTCGTTTGTTAAAAGCTTTTTCTTTCCGTATGTTCCGGTTTATATTGTTCTTTGACTACGTTGAGACTGCTCTGCTCAAAAGAATCCCAGGAGATTCTTTAGCCCTTGACTATAGTTTCCACTAAAAATAAAACAAATGCAAGGGTTTACGGCTCAGTTTGCGTTAGCCATAAAGAGAGTGATAAACGTGAAGTTTTTGGAAGCCACAAGTCGCGTTGACGCCCGATACAAAGAAGTTCAGAAGCCAGAAGATACCGAAGGGCAGCAAGCATCCTGTAAACCCTAACACAATAGCAATGGCCATCTTTAATACATTTCGTTCCCTTTGCTGGCGTTGTTGTCCAGCGTTGACCGATTGTTTTCCTGGAATCCTCTGCGATTTGAGCTTTGCATAGATGATAATGTAAAGTATGGCTATCAACAGCGAAAGGATGATAAAGAATGTAACAACAGACTTCATTCCAGTGTAACTCAGAAACCAGTCCATCTGCGTATTCAACAAGTTTGTAGACGAAGAGATCTGGGGAGTCGATAGCCATCGCGACGATCCAAGTGGCGAGAATGGAAAACGGGCACAGCTTTGAACTGATCGAGTGGGGAACGGATATTGGCAAAATCCTGTTTAATTTATGCTATGTCAAACATAAACAATTTGATTTTAGCTTGCTGGTAAATAGGAAATCTACAGAAAGGAAAGTATTTCCTTCAATATTATAAGAATCATTTCAGACAGTTTTTTTCAATCTTGAACCCAAAGTGAAGGGGACGTTTTTATTTACAATTTGTAAGTTTTTTTACTAAATAACTTTGTCCACGGGAAGGGGGAAGGGAAGTAACAAAGTTTTATACAAGGAGGCTCTGCTCCAAGGTCAAAATCCTATCCAGTGGTTTTGACAGGAAACGCTTCCCTTTCATATACATGTAGCTTCTAGCTTGAAACTCCTTTCACAAACCTATATGTGGCCCCACTAGATCTTATATCTTGGATAAATAATCAATTTATGTTTGAAATCCCTATCCTGTTAAGTCCTATAATACTTCCAGCCTAAAAAAAGTCTTCCTTTAGTCAACTATAGGGAGAAGTCCCCCAGCTTGGTGCAATACAATAATACGGGTTCTACATATTGTAGTGTACATTCTTATATGCCTTGCAACACTATAATTGTCTTCAGAATTACGGTATTTGGCTGTTCTAAACATGATTCAATAAATTAAGTTTGCTGCACCTATGAACCTTATAAATGATGTCGAGTCAAGCATTGAGGACATTGGCGATAAAAAAAAGCAAAAGAAGAGGGTGTTAAATTTCAGTGTTGTACTGAAAGTGCGAGGAAAGTTATTAAAAATAAAGCTTCCTTAGGAGAATCAAACTTTACTATGGTAACTGATTTTACGTAAAAACCACAAACGATGGCCAAGGGTATCGTCAATGAAAAGAAAGATTAGAAACGTATCGTTCTGTAAAGTTTATGAGGTACATTCAATCCAATACAGTAGTGAGATAAATATTATTTGCACGGCTTAAGACGACCTGAGAGTTTCCTTGAATTAAGAAAATTACAAATGGACTTTCCAGAATACTACAAAGTGATCGTAAACTCAGTGTCCAAGGAAGCGTTAGAATCATTAAGTTAGTGTACATTGAATTGATTACAAAGCAGTTTTGATTAACGTTCTTTACAAATTTCAGGTCGACTGACATTCTCAACTGAACAGAGAATCAACACAGTTATTGCACTGTTCAAAAACTATTTACTTTTAAGTAAAGTTTTCAGTTTTCTACGATAATTTGAGCTGAAAATAAAACAGATACAAGGATTGATGGCACAATTTGCGCGAGCCATAAAAAAGGCAACAATAATAAAGTATTGGAAGCCACAAGACCATTTCACAAAGTCCGGTCCAAAGAACAGGAGTAACATGGACATAACGTAGGGCATCGAGCATACTGCAAACCCTAACACAATAGCAATGGCCATCTTTAACACGTTTCGTTCCCTTTGCAGACGTTGTTTTCCAGTGTTGGTCGATTGCTCGCCTGGAATCTTGTGTGACTTGAGCTTTGTATAGATGATAATGTAAAGTATGGCTATCAACAGTAACGGGATCAAATGGAAAACTAACAAGTATGCCACGATGTAATTCCGAAAAAACGAGGACTCACCAAAGACTTCATTCCAAGGTAGAACACACTTCAACCCTTCTGGATATTCAACAAGTTTGTAGGCGGAGAGAAATGGGGAGAAAAAAGCCAACGCGACGATCCAAGTGACGAGAATGAAGAACGGGCACAGCTTTGAACTGATGAGTGGGGAACGGAGGGGAAATACCACAGCTCCAAATCGATCCACAGCTGTCAGAACCAGGCTCTGAACAGAAACAATAAGGGAGACATCTGATAAGAAGTGAACCAGCTTACATAAGGCCTGGCCAAGAGGACCACCGATCAGCCAGGAGTCTATATAAAGCTTCTGTATCTCTCGAGGAATCACAAAAATCGGAAACAGCAGATCGGACATGGCCATGTTTACAATGAAAAAGTTGATGGGTTTTCTCATGGCTTTCGTCTTGTAGACAATTATTCCGATGACGGTGTTCCCAGTCAGCGAAACAAGAAAAATCAGGCAGTAAGCGACGGTTTGCCCGATTTTTTCTGCTGTAGGATTGTAGCAGCTCGATGGCTGAGTGCCATTCATGGTTTTGTTCAAGTCTTCCGACATCGCCGTTCAGTTTCTTTCTGGCTCTAACGCTCACAAATGAGTTTTCGTCTGGTTTGGTCACTTAGTAAGTCCCTCTAATTATGTGCTACTGAAAGCGAGTTGATCGCTTGGCTTGACATTTGCATTTCATATCAGTTATTTCTCCGGCTGACACGTTCTTTTTCATGTGGCTTGTTTCCAGACGAGGAAGCAGTGCTCTATTTATATTGATTCTAGTAAGGGCCGTGTTTATAGCACAGATCCTTTTTTTTTAGTTTTCCTTCTCATGTTTGAGAAAATAATTGGGGTTTCTTTACTTTTTCGGGAGTAGCTCAACACAAGCTTGTGCCACCAGTTACTTTTCAGCTGATATTTTAATGAGATCGAGCTAAATTACTGATGGTTTGATAGCCAAACTGTCCCAAAATGTCATCAGATAAAGCATTTATATTTCTTGACTTCTTCAGCTCTGCTTGAAAAGTTGGTTCATATTCCTAAACAGATCATTTTTTAATCAGACGGGTGATTGAGAGACAAGACGTTAAATATTAGCATTTTAATATCGCTTGATCTCAATTACATCGTCTTGATGTCCTTTTAATTACTTTTCCATGCCAAAGTTTCAATTTAGAGATTTTGAAGTTTGATAACTGAAATGACAGGAGGATGAATGGATTGCCTTTTAAACGGCTTCCACCCAAAGACGCTAGTTTTTTTATTCAGTCTGATGCAGTTTCATTTGTCGAGAGTATCCAAGTCAGTCTTTCATCAAATAGACTCGTATATAAACCATGCAAACATAGCATATTAATAGCGATTAGTATCACCCAACTGGTGGACTAATGCAAATCCTGCATTTTAATTGGCTATGCTACTAGAGGTCTATTAGTAATAGTCCTCGAGTAGCGAAATTGGC